GGTCCGGGCCGGGGTTCCGGGGCAGCGGAGCGCGCCGAGCTGGGGCCGCCGTGCGCCCGGGCGTGTGCCGGGGGCCAGCGGTTCTGGGCCCGCGCCCTGCTCCCGGGCCGAATAAGGAGAAGCCGAGGCCGGCGCGTCCACCCGCGAGAGCTCGCACGGACGGCGCAGTCACTCCGCACCACTTGAAGGGCTTTGGAGCGTTTCGGTGGCCCTGACGACCCGCCCCTGTGCCCCGAGCCTACCCGCGCGACAGTGGCAGACCCGTGGGCGTTTCCCTCTGCGGTGTGTCGGCACCGAAACGCGCTTGGGTGCCGGAAACGAGCGGGAAATCGGCGCAACCCGCCCGTGTAAGCAGCAGGGCTTTGTGCCGTGTCATTCCGCGGTAGTGCCACCACCGGGCCTCGTGGTCTGAGTCCTGTGAATGAAATGTAATGTTTTTATGACCTGGCATGTCAGGATGGTGAAACCTTTACACCTAGAAATGTTTGCGGGAGGGGACCAGCATTTGGCGTAATGGCTGTGTTGCTGGGCTCCTACATAGCTGACCACGGTTCGAGTCCCGGACCCCGGTGGTCATCTCCCTGGGGGGTGATTTCTCGCTTTGTGTCTCTGTCTGGCGAGTGCACATACCCTATAGCAAAAACCTCTCCAAAAAAATATCTCAAGGAGACATTTTATTTGGTTCTTTAGAGAGATGATTTTATTGTTGTTTGGTCTGTGAATGGAGTGTTTTTGAAAAGTTGTTTCCTAAGCTAAAAATTTAGAACCTGAAGTAACTTTTTCATAAAGTGATGCAGCAGCTGGGAAGAAGCTGGCAAGGAGGCAGAGGCCCTGCACCTGCGGCCGCTTGGCGTGGAGACATGGTGCGTGTGGCAGCGCCGGCAGCGCCGGACTCGAAGGCCTCCGCACCTGGCCGGGGCTCCGGGGTGTGCTCCTACAGATCCCGGAGCTCTGCAGGCACCTGCCCGCCCCATGCGGGATTTTCTCAGCACCTCGTTTCCGCGCTAAGCCTTTCCTTCAGAGTTCTGCCCTTTCTGGGAATCCGATGAAGCACGTTTCTTCCTTGGACTGTTTCCCAGGCCAGAGGCTCCTCCACAGATGTCCTTCCTGCTGTTTCTTTCCATTTCTATCCGAAGGCTCACTCCCTCCTTCAACCTAGAAGGCTCTTGCATGGACTTGGACTCCACAAAACCTACCTTTGGTTCTTGTTATTTTGACACCTAGTTAATATGTACCAATATTTTGGGATTTATTTTATGTAATACTGAAATGCTGGTATCAGTATGTTTTATTAATAACTAAAATATCAGTATTATATTCTACAATTTGTTCTTAGATGCTGCTCCTTTTGAGGAAAAATTGAGGTTTCTGTGTCCTAGCCTGAGTCTTCCCAGGTAGGGTGTCTGACAGAGGACGCCTGGTTAAAATCAAGTGTCCTAAGAATAGAGACCTTCACTGGCCGAACCGAGTCCTAAAGGAACAGTGTCAGGTTTGCAGCAGAGTCGGGCCTCTGAGGAAGAGGAGTGAGGGAGAGAAGGACTGCAAGGGACACTCAGGAAACTGAAGGGCAGGACACAGAAGTCCCACGTGCGTGTTGGCAGCTGTGTGCATGAGAGATGACCCAGCTGCGTCAACAGTGAGCAACTTGTGGCTTCATGTGAGGGGTCTCTGGCCTGCTGTCCCTCCGGAAGGCTTAGCCTCTCCAGCCCTTTCGTTCTAAGTCTGCACTGTCAGTGGCATCTGCTTAGAGGTGGCGCAGTGTGGAGATGGCCAGATGACCTCAGGTGGGTGTGCCCACTAGAGCAGAGGAAGGTCGGATACCCTAGATGGCCCTGGAATCATTCACTCTAGCTGTAAGGTCTGTCTTTATGGTTGTAAGAGGAATGTGCACAGGGCAGGCAGGTGGTGTGGTGGCCAAAGCCCTCCCACATGACTGGCTGCATTTCCAGTTCCAGACCTGGTGGCTTGCTTTCTCGCTCTTCCTCCCCCTCCCCCAGCCCATCCCTACCGTGAGCACACATGCCCTGTAGCACATTTTTAAAAATAAAATAATTTTTTTTAAAAGTAATGTTAAAAAAAATAAGGGGGGGAACCAGCAGTTAGCGTAATGGCTATGTCGCTGGACTCCCACGTAGTCAACCGCGGTTCGTGTCCCAGACCCGGTGGCTTAGAACTCACGTGTGTGCGTGCGTGCCCAAGATCCCGGGAGGAGAATGGAGGAGAAGAGATTGCGGCATGACCATCCCCCCTCGGGGGTGATTTCTCGCTTTCTGTCTCTATGTCGCGCCCTGTCTGTCTGACGAGCGCACGCGCCCTATAGTGAAAACCTCTCCAAAAAAAAAGGAATGTATACTCTGGAAAATGTAAGGCTGCAGAAAGTTCAAAGAAAACAAAAGCTACGAAATCTCAGTCTGCGTTATATGTTGATATCAAATGTCTGATATTACTACATTCGTGTATCCCTCTCTGTGTAATATATGTGTACATCCATACATTGTATGTTTTGTTTGTTTGTTTATTTACATGGGGAGTGGTGTTGCCATAGGGCTTGTGCACTCACTGGGGAGAGAGAGACAGAAAGAAGGAAAGTGAGAAATCTCCCTCCCATGAGACATGACCATGCTGCAGTTCCTTCTCAATTTCTGGGATCTTGGGCAGGCACACACATATGCCCTGTGTGATTTTCAAGCTTCCAGGTCCAGAACTCCAACCATGGTCGGCCATGTGGGAGTCCAGCGCCTTAACCACTATTCCACCTGCTGGGTCCCCTAGCATGTTTTAATATAAATGGCATTCGCAATATTTTATTTACTTAGCTGGTTGTGTCATTTCCCGAGTTACTGAAAATTCTTATGTAAAAACTAGTTGCCAGACTACCTACCATTCTCTCAACACACATTTAGGTTGCTTCAAGCTTTCTTTTATCAATATAAATAATGCCCTATGAAAATCTTTGCCTGTAAGTCCTTACAGTTTTACCTTGCAGTGTATCTTAGACATGGAAGAACTAGTCACTGAGCCACGCTCTTCAAAGTCTCTCGAAACATCCTAAAGAATTGCATTCAAGAAAGCTGATACCAGTGTACTCCTCCAGCCTTGGGGATTGGAAGCCATCAGCACAGCAGTGAGCAGTATCATTTATAACCCTTGCTAATTCAGTCGGTAGAAATTTTATTGTTGTTAAAATATAGCTAGAGAGATGTACTAAACCATTCATTTATTCATTGGTCATTGATATTTCTTTTCTCTTTTTAAATGAGAGCTCATGCACATCCACGCACGAGGGAGGAGGCTCGTGACCCGCCTTCCAAAGCCCTCAGCTCCTCGGGATCCTGGGCCCCCATGTGTGCCCGGTGTGCTTTCAGGCTGACTAGGGATCTGAACTCACGGCTACCCATATGTTATCTAGCTTTTCAGGGAACTGGAAGTACCACTGCGCCACAGTGGCTGGGTCTGTTTTTCTTTTTTAAATGACAAAGTTAAACCCTTCTTTTAAAAAGGAAAAGATACACTTAAAAGATACATATGTATATGACATACTACATTCATATATGTCATTTTAAACATGTAGCATATAGTAGCTGTATATCACATACGTGTGTAATAGACACACAAGAACTGAAGTCTATATTGAGCCTTTATATGTTTGTTGGTATTTTGAAAGGGATTCTTTTTCCCACATTATGTTTTCTTGCACCTGCTTTCTAGCTTTCGACGTTTATGTATTTCATTTATAATTGGCTACCTCTGTGCATTCCTTTATGAGTTCTGACCCTGACAAACCCTAGTATCTCTGATGCGTGATTCATTGGCTTCTAGGTGTGCAAGCACCCACGCCATCGAGCACAGTGGCTTTGCTCCCTCTAAGGGCTGGTTGCTCATTCTGTCTCTTGCCTTTGCAGAACAGTATCGCGCACAGATATTGAGTAAGTAAATGAAGGAGCCTCTAACAGGGCTCGCTGAACTGTGCGCCACAAGATGAAGGGAAATAGGGAGAGGGCTGGACCTCTGCCTCCTTTTTGATACATCATTAGAAATAGGGTTA